GCTTAGGCTTAGGCTTAGGCTTAGGCTTAGGCTTAGGCTTGATAATTAATTTTATTTGCTATTTATATATTTGCAATGATATAATATTTCATTTGATTTTTTCATTATAATAGGATAATTTTGGTGATGTGAAATTACATTATAATACAATTATACATCTTCTTCTTTTCTTTCTTTCTTCAAAGAAAAAAAAAGTTATTATGAAAGTTTGAAATTTTATGAATTGATGAAATATGTAAGAAAATAAGTTTTCTTTTTAAAAAAAATTAAGCACAAGTGATAAAAAATTATTTTGAAAATTTTAAGTCAGAAAAATTTGAAATGTTTGTGAAAATTTTTTGTCACTTTTGTAGCTGATTGAAACACACTGATAATAATAAATCAATTTTCAAATCGATTTATTGAGTAACAGTAGATCGATTTATGAGATAAAAAAAAAAATTATTTGTTGCACATAAGATTGATTTATTATTATCAAATAGATTAATTGATTTAATGGATAGGAAATGATTAAATTTTAGGAAAAAAAAAACTGTGAAAGACAAAGAATGAAATTAATAGAATTAAATTGTTGGTTGTTTATGATAATAAAAATTAATTTGAAAATAAATGAATGATTCAGCTAAGATGTTCAGATCAATCTTATAAAAGTTCATTTTGATATATCTTATCAGCTAAACAATTGAAATGTGTTATTTATCAATTAGCTGTATGATCAGCGTAAGAGCGTTTAAGAAAAAAAAAATTGATAAATTAACAAATCATTAAAAGTGCTTTCATTTGAATGCAAATGAATTTAGGAAAGGAGAAATTGTCACAAAAATGTCACACTGATTATAACTGATAGAATATTGATATTATAAAAATAATTTAACATTTAATATCCTTAATCTACTTAAATTACATTGATATTGTGATATGATAATATTGGTAAATTATTTACACTGATTTGATAATATTGATTAAATCAGTTGAATCAATTAATGCTTTTAAAGAATGCGGCATTGATCATTTAATGATTTAATGAGCAAAAAAAAAAAAATCATATTAAATTTCTCATAATTTCATTCAGTTTAACAGCAAATGTTTTGAATCTAATAGATTTAATCAATAATAATTAGGATTCTATAGCAGTTTTACTAATTATCAATTAATTAGTTATTTTTAAAAGTTATCAAATATAGTTCTGATAATAATATCATACTATCACGATTCAATTATTCTAAAAAAAGATTTGAGCGCAAAATTAAAATTATAAATTCAAATATAAGCATAAAACTGCTGAAATTGTTAAAATATGCATAAATTACGGGGGGCTTAGGCTTAGGCTTAGGCTTAGGCTTAGGCTTAGGCTTAGGCTTAGGCTTTAGGCTTAGGCTTAGGCTTAGGCTTAGCTTAGGCTTAGGCTTAGGCTTAGGCTTAGGCTTAGGCTTAGGCTTAGGCTTAGGCTTAGGCTTAGGCTTAGGCTTAGGCTTCTTAGGCTTAGGCTTAGGCTTAGGCTTAGGCTTAGGCTTAGGCTTAGGCTTAGGCTTAGGCTTAGGCTTGATAATTAATTTTATTTGCTATTTATATATTTGCAATGATATAATATTTCATTTGATTTTTTCATTATAATAGGATAATTTTGGTGATGTGAAATTACATTATAATACAATTATACATCTTCTTCTTTTCTTTCTTTTTTCAAAAAAAAAAAAAGTTATTATGAAAATTTGAAATTTTATGAATTGATGAAATATGTAAGAAGATAAGTTTTTTTTTTTTTTAAAAAAATTAAGCACAAGTGATAAAAAATTATTTTGAAAATTTTAAGTCAGAAAAATTTGAAATGTTTGTGAAAATTTTTTGTCACTTTTGTAGCTGATTGAAACACACTGATAATAATAAATCAATTTTCAAATCGATTTATTGAGTAACAGTAGATCGATTTATGAGATAAAAAAAAAATTATTTGTTGCACATAAGATTGATTTATTATTATCAAATAGATTAATTGATTTAATGGATAGGAAATGATTAAATTTTAGGAAAAAAAAAACTGTGAAAGACAAAGAATGAAATTAATAGAATTAAATTGTTGGTTGTTTATGATAATAAAAATTAATTTGAAAATAAATGAATGATTCAGCTAAGATGTTCAGATCAATCTTATAAAAGTTCATTTTGATATATCTTATCAGCTAAACAATTGAAATGTGTTATTTATCAATTAGCTGTATGATCAGCGTAAGAGCGTTTAAGAAAAAAAAAATTGATAAATTAACAAATCATTAAAAGTGCTTTCATTTGAATGCAAATGAATTTAGGAAAGGAGAAATTGTCACAAAAATGTCACACTGATTATAACTGATAGAATATTGATATTATAAAAATAATTTAACATTTAATATCCTTAATCTACTTAAATTACATTGATATTGTGATATGATAATATTGGTAAATTATTTACACTGATTTGATAATATTGATTAAATCAGTTGAATCAATTAATGCTTTTAAAGAATGCGGCATTGATCATTTAATGATTTAATGAGCAAAAAAAAAAAAATCATATTAAATTTCTCATAATTTCATTCAGTTTAACAGCAAATGTTTTGAATCTAATAGATTTAATCAATAATAATTAGGATTCTATAGCAGTTTTACTAATTATCAATTAATTAGTTATTTTTAAAAGTTATCAAATATAGTTCTGATAATAATATCATACTATCACGATTCAATTATTCTAAAAAAAGATTTGAGCGCAAAATTAAAATTATAAATTCAAATATAAGCATAAAACTGCTGAAATTGTTAAAATATGCATAAATTACGGGGGGCTTAGGCTTAGGCTTAGGCTTAGGCTTAGGCTTAGGCTTAGCTTAGGCTTAGGCTTAGCTTAGGCTTAGGCTTAGGCTAGGCTTAGGCTTAGGCTTAGGCTTAGGCTTAGGCTTTAGGCTTAGGCTTAGGCTTAGGCTTAGGCTTAGGCTTAGGCTTAGGCTTAGGCTTAGGCTTAGGCTTAGGCTTAGGCTTAGGCTTAGGCTTAGGCTTAGGCTTAGGCTTAGGCTTAGGCTTAGGCTTAGGCTTAGGCTTAGGCTTAGGCTTAGGCTTGATAATTAATTTTATTTGCTATTTATATATTTGCAATGATATAATATTTCATTTGATTTTTTCATTATAATAGGATAATTTTGGTGATGTGAAATTACATTATAATACAATTATACATCTTCTTCTTTTCTTTCTTTTTTCAAAAAAAAAAAAAGTTATTATGAAAATTTGAAATTTTATGAATTGATGAAATATGTAAGAAGATAAGTTTTTTTTTTTTTTAAAAAAAATTAAGCACAAGTGATAAAAAATTATTTTGAAAATTTTAAGTCAGAAAAATTTGAAATGTTTGTGAAAATTTTTTGTCACTTTTGTAGCTGATTGAAACACACTGATAATAATAAATCAATTTTCAAATCGATTTATTGAGTAACAGTAGATCGATTTATGAGATAAAAAAAAAAAAAAATTATTTGTTGCACATAAGATTGATTTATTATTATCAAATAGATTAATTGATTTAATGGATAGGAAATGATTAAATTTTAGGAAAAAAAAAACTGTGAAAGACAAAGAATGAAATTAATAGAATTAAATTGTTGGTTGTTTATGATAATAAAAATTAATTTGAAAATAAATGAATGATTCAGCTAAGATGTTCAGATCAATCTTATAAAAGTTCATTTTGATATATCTTATCAGCAAAACAATTGAAATGTGTTATTTATCAATTAGCTGTATGATCAGCGTAAGAGCGTTTAAGAAAAAAAAAAATTGATAAATTAACAAATCATTAAAAGTGCTTTCATTTGAATGCAAATGAATTTAGGAAAGGAGAAATTGTCACAAAAATGTCACACTGATTATAACTGATAGAATATTGATATTATAAAAATAATTTAACATTTAATATCCTTAATCTACTTAAATTACATTGATATTGTGATATGATAATATTGGTAAATTATTTACACTGATTTGATAATATTGATTAAATCAGTTGAATCAATTAATGCTTTTAAAGAATGCGGCATTGATCATTTAATGATTTAATGAGCAAAAAAAAAAAAAAAAAAAAATCATATTAAATTTCTCATAATTTCATTCAGTTTAACAGCAAATGTTTTGAATCTAATAGATTTAATCAATAATAATTAGGATTCTATAGCAGTTTTACTAATTATCAATTAATTAGTTATTTTTAAAAGTTATCAAATATAGTTCTGATAATAATATCATACTATCACGATTCAATTATTCTAAAAAAAGATTTGAGCGCAAAATTAAAATTATAAATTCAAATATAAGCATAAAACTGCTGAAATTGTTAAAATATGCATAAATTACGTAAAACTGATAGCTGTAATTATTTGAAACTATTACAACTGAATGGAATTTTTTTTAATAAAAACTTTTCTTATTTAAATAAAAAAATTAATTTGACAAAAATATAATTTAAGCTAAAAATATAAATATAAAATTCTGCTTTTGAAACTTGAGTAACATTAGATGAAAAATTTAACACTTATTGGCTTGGCTAGTAGAGATATTATAACAGTTTATGTCAATTATAAATTTATCACTAAAGTCAAATTTTTTCTAAAGTCATAATTTATCACTAAGGCCACTGTACCTTACGTTACCGTACTTCTTACCACTGTACCTTTTGTTACCGTACCTCTTATCACTGTACCTCTTGTAACCGTACCTCTTACCATTGTACCTTTCGTTACCGTACCTCTTATCACTGTACCTCTTGTAACCGTACCTCTTACCATTGTACCTTTCGTTACCGTACCTCTTATCACTGCACCTCTTATCACCGTACCTCTTATCACGGTACCTCTTATCACGGTACCTCTTATCACTGCACCTCTTATCACCGTACCTCTTATCATGGTACCTCTTATCATGGTACCTCTTACCACCGTACCTCTTATCTTCCTCTTATCACTGTACCTCTTATCATGGTACCTCTTATCACTGTACCTCTTATCATGGTACCTCTTATCACCGTACCTCTTATCATGGTACCTCTTATCACTGTACCTCTTATCATTGTACCTCTTATCACCGTACCTCTTATCACTGTACCTCTTATCATGGTACCTCTTATCACTGTACCTCCTATCATTGTACCTCTTATCACTGTACCTCTTATCATTGTACCTCTTATCACCGTACCTCTTATCACTGTACCTCTTATCATGGTACCTCTTATCACTGAACCTCCTATCATTGTACCTCTTATCACTGTACCTCTTATCATGGTACCTCTTACCACTGTACCTCTTGTAACCGTACCTCTTACCACTGTACCTCCTGTTATCGTACCTCTTACTACCGTACCTTACGTTACCGTACTTCTTACCGCTGTACTTCTTGTTACCGTACCTCTTATCGCCGTACCTCTTATCACTGCACCTCCTATCACTGTACTTCTTACCACCGTACCTCTTACCACTGTACCTCTTATCATGGTACCTCTTATCTTGGTACCTCTTATCACTGTACCTCTTATCACCGTACCTCTTATCACGGTACCTCTTATCATGGTACCTCTTGTCACTGTACCTCTTATCATGGTACCTCTTATCATGGTACCTCTTACCCGTACCTCTTATCATGGTACCTCTTATCTTGGAACCTCATATCATGGTACCTCTTATCACCGTGTTTCTTATCACGGTACCTCTTACCATGGTACCTCTTATCATAGTACCTCTTATCTTGGTACCTCTTATCACTGTTTCTTATCACGGTACCTCTTACCATGGTACCTCTTATCATAGTACCTCTTATCTTGGTACCTCCTATTATGATACCTCTTATCATGGTACCTCTTATCACTGCACCTCTTATCACCGTACCTCTTATCACGGTACCCCTTATCACTGCACCTCTTATCACTGCACCTCTTATCACGGTACCTCTTATCATGGTGCCTCTTATCTTGGTACCTCTTATTACGGTACCTCTTATCACGGTACCCCTTATCACTGCACCTCTTATCACGGTACCTCTTATCATGGTACCTCTCACCACCGTACCTCTTATCATGGTACCTCTTATCATGGTACCTCTTATCACCGTGCCTCTTATCACGGTACCTTTTATCATGGTACTTCTTGTCACTGTACCTCTTACCACCGTACCTCTTATCTTGGTACCTCTTATTACGGTACCTCTTATCACGGTACCCCTTATCACTGCACCTCTTATCACGGTACCTCTTATCATGGTACCTCTTACCACCGTACCTCTTATCATGGTACCTCTTATCATGGTACCTCTTACCACCGTACCTCTTATCACTGCACCTCTTATCACCGTACCTCTTATCATGGTGCCTCTTATCATGGTACCTCTTACCACCGTACCTCTTATTACCTACCTCTTGCTACCGTATTTCTTATTACCGTACATCTTATCACCTATCTCTTATCACTGCGCCTTATATTCCGTATTTTTCCCACCGTACCTCTTCTTACCGTATCTGTTATTATCACTAATAAAAATGAATTGTTCTTTTTTTTCTAATTTTAAATTTTAATTCGTATTTATTTATGATAATTAATTTTATTTGCTATTTATATATTTGCAATGATATAATATTTCATTTGATTTTTTCATTATAATAGGATAATTTTGGTGATGTGAAATTACATTATAATACAATTATACATCTTCTTCTTTTCTTTCTTTTTTCAAAAAAAAAAAAAGTTATTATGAAAATTTGAAATTTTATGAATTGATGAAATATGTAAGAAGATAAGTTTTTTTTTTTTTTTAAAAAAAATTAAGCACAAGTGATAAAAAATTATTTTGAAAATTTTAAGTCAGAAAAATTTGAAATGTTTGTGAAAATTTTTTGTCACTTTTGTAGCTGATTGAAACACACTGATAATAATAAATCAATTTTCAAATCGATTTATTGAGTAACAGTAGATCGATTTATGAGATAAAAAAAAAAAAAAATTATTTGTTGCACATAAGATTGATTTATTATTATCAAATAGATTAATTGATTTAATGGATAGGAAATGATTAAATTTTAGGAAAAAAAAAACTGTGAAAGACAAAGAATGAAATTAGTAGAATTAAATTGTTGGTTGTTTATGATAATAAAAATT